TGGGGGCTGGCGGCTGGCGTGGTGCCGACGCCGATGATCGCGGCTCGTGTCCTCGCCCGGGCGCCCGCCCGCGGTGAAATCGAGCGGGCAAATTCGGCGATTAGCGGAGGATCGGGGAACAGGGGGTTCGCAGCTGCGGCAGCGCCGGCGGTAAGTGGTGGCAGTGGCGAAAAATTGTGCCAAATCGCCCACTCCGTTCTGGACTCTCCCCCCCCCACCCTCTCTCCTGCGACCGCGCGTGCACGTGGGGAGCGGCGGCGCAACGGTCGGCGCATTGCGCTACAAACCCCACGACCCCAGGAGGTGGAATCCCGCTAACGTCCACCAATGAACAGCGGCGAATAATCGAACCGGCATTGGGCCTTCGTACGAGCTCCTGGTGACGTGTGTAAGCGTAGCCACTCGTGGTGCCGGCCACACCACGCCCACGTGCGCCACGCCGGCCTTGCAAAGGCGCTCGCCAACGGCACTTGCCCCAAGAGCTTGCCAAGGCTACACGGGGCATCTTTGTATTTGTTTGCCTTCCCGCCGTCCCGAAAAAAAGACCCACGTTGAGTTTGGGATTCCACCCCGCTCGCGGTCGGTGCGGAGTCCGGTCAGCCCGGCGGCTCGCCGGAAAGGTTGAGGACCCAGTTGACCTCTGGGCAGTGGCGCAGCAGCGGTGGCTGCCGGTTCAGCGTCTCTGAAACCTCGGCCACGCGACGGTCAACTCCCCAGTATTTAGATATTAATCAATATCTATGCAATTACCTTCAACGCCTTGTCAACTAATACAGGGACTCATTTACTTAAGAACGAGTTAGGTTTCAGAGGTACTGTTCGTAAGTCGATTTGTACGTAAGTCCCAAATTTACTCTTGTCAATTCCAAACATGTTGTACGGCATGTACACTAAACACGAGGAATGGCTTTAAACATTGTATAATCTCCTGTAGATGTAGATCCCACTGGTTATTCATGTTCCGTGGATGTAGATGCCACTAGTTATTCATGTTCTGCAGATGTAGATGCCACTGGTTATTCATGTTCTGCGGATGTAGAGGCCACTGGTTATTTATGTTCTGCGGATGTAGATGCCACTGGTTCTTCACGTTCTGCAGCTGTAGATGCCGCCGGTTCTTCATGTTCTGCAGATGTAATAAACATCTACATTGCGCTGTTGATTAGTACAATGTTTTCGGCCCAATTAGCGACGATTCGTGTTTGATTATTAATTATTATTACTCACGTGGGAGGAAGGAAAACCGGTGTGCCCGGAGAAAACCCCCACGCTTTGCGCGAGGGAGCAACGCTCTATCCCCGAACAGATGGGCGACCCCTCCTGCAAGCGATCCCGCGGTGTAACGACCCCCGCGGCCAAAACCAGTGCGAACCGATCGCAGCAAAATGAACACTTTGCTTGACAGCTTGCTCGGTGAGTTATGAGAAGGAATAATAATAATAGCCGTGTTTATAAATAAAGTATGGAATTACGGAGCGTACGCGGGAGGGAACGATTGCGCGGTGGAAATGGGGGGGTGGGGCCTTTGTGAGAGGCCTGACGGCACAATGGAGGCGCTGTGACATCGCTGTGACAGCGCTGTGACATCGCTGTGACATTGGGCACCGCGCCGCTTGAGGCATCTCGGCGTCGCAGCGGGAGGAGGGCTCGTCGACGGAAGGCGGCGCCCGTGGTGTGACCCCCCCCTCCGCGTCTCCCCCCCCCCCCCCCCCCGGTGGTGTTCCGCATGGGCTGCAGAGAGCCAGCATTGAGCATGGCTTGTGTCGAGCCCAGCCCGCGCAGCTGATTGGGTTTCCAACTCGGACGAGAGTTCCACATCGGTCAGAGTCTCACGCGCGCGCGTAGTCGCTCACTTGCGCGTGCACGTACGCGGTCTCCACCGACGCCGGTGAGACGAGTGATTTGGCTCCCCGTGCAGTGTGACCCCTCGGATTCCAGGCACTCTTGGTGTGATCTGGAACCTGGGACCTGGGACCTGGGGCTTCGGATTTGGCATCTGGGATTTGGGATCTGACCCTGCGATCTGTTACTTGGGTTCTGGGACATAGGACATGGGTCTTGGGACCTGGAACCTGGGATCTGGGGCTTGGGATTTGGGCCCTGGGATTTGGGATCTGGTCCCGAGGATCTGATACTTAGGATCTGGGACATGAGACTTGGGATCTAGTATCCTGGCATCTCGTACCTGGGATCTGAGACCTGGAATTTAGGATCTGGAATTTGGAATCTGCTATCTGGGAATCTGGGTTCTGGTTCCTGGGATCTGGCACCTGGGATTTGAGATAAGGGACCATAACTGGAATCTGGGACCTGGGATTTGGGATCTGGTACTTGCGATCTGGCACCTGGAACTTGGGATCTGGAATTTGGGATCTGATACTTGGGGTCTAGGACCTGGTAACTTGGGATCTGGGAGCTGGTTACTTGGGATCTGGTTCTTGTGATCTGGGCCCTTGGATTTGAACAGATGCGGTGCGGGGGGAGCATCTTGGAAACTTATGCGCATTGTTTCCTGTGAACACTGCCACGCCGGGAGATGGAATCGAACCGGAGCCCTCCACACTGAGCCGTCCAGCATCTCAAACCGCGGCAGACAGCCGCCCAACCGCCGTCCGTTTACGAACTCCGGCATCGCCCGGAGCCGACAAATCGTTAGCCGCCTCTCGTCTGGCCACTAATTAGAAGTATTATTACAGTGCGGTGTGATCATTGTTATTTTGTCGCGTCCACGCCCGGACCCGCCCAGCCATCCAACGCCCCCCCACCCCGGGGGATCGGGGGGGGGGGCTGTCATGCCTCGTCAGATGATAAATCACCCACGGGTCCCGACCGCAGCAGCAGCAGCAGGAGGCGAGGCAAGCGGTGTTTATATAACTGGGTCCCCACGTGGCACGGCCTCCTTGCTCAGGGACCCGGCCAGCCTCGACCCCCGGGGCGCCCACGCGTTGCGGTGGAGGGGGGGGTGGCGATCACCACCCCCCCCCCCACCCCCCGCTCCCCTCCCCTCTCTCGCTGTGGCACAGAGATACCGCGGTGGCTAGGAGATGTTAACTACCTCGCCTGGTATACAGGAAGTCGTGGGTTCAATCCCGATCCTGACACTTGCTGTTTATTTGGCGTCTACGTGTCTCTCTCTCTCATCACCATCACGGTGGCTAGGAGATGTTAACTACCTCGCCTGGTATACAGGAGTTCGTGGGTTCGATCCCGATCCTGACACCTACTGTTTATTTGGCGTCTACGTATCTCTCTCTCTCATCATCATCATCACGGTGGCTAGGAGATGTTAACTACCTCGCCTGGTATACAGGAAGTCGTGGGTTCGATCCTGACCCCTACTGTATATTTGGAGTCTGCGTCTCTATCATCATCATCACGGTGGCTCGGAGATGTTAACTACCTCGCCTGGTATACAGGAGGTCGTGGGTTCGATCCTGACCCCTACTGTATATTTGGAGTTTGTGTCTCTCTCTCATCATCATCATCACGGTGGCTAGGAGATGTTAACTACCTCGCCTGGTATACAGGAAGTCGTAGGTTCGATCTTGACCCCTGCTGTATATTTGGAGTTTGCGTGTCTCTCTCCCCATTGTTGTGTGGATTTTGCTCCGGGTCTTCAGTTTTTTCCCTCCACATTTAGAATCGACATCACACATTTTGAGTAGTTGGCTGCTATGAATTTCCACCTGATGATGGTAAAGCCACTTCGTTGAGCTGTCATTCGTGGCCAGGTCGCGTCTGAAAAAGAGTTACGTAGCTCAGTGGGCCTTACCTGGTAAAATAACGAACAATAGTTTATTAGTTTAAATAGAGACTGTGGAGCGGAGCGTCTCGTCGCTCGCGTCATGAGATTGCGTGGAGCGGTTGTAGTGGTGGCGGCGGCAGCAGCAGCGATTGTAGTGGTGGCGGTTGTGGGTGATGGTAGCTGTGGTGGTAGAGAAGCGGCGTGCAAACGTCGCCAATGGGATGACAAAGGCGTCCGTGCGTGGTGCCGACCATCCATCAATCCGTCCGCCCCGCGTGCGCCGTTCCGACCTGACTGCACTTGCCCCACCGGTCGGTTAAAGGCTATATGGGGGATCTTTGTTCTGCTCTCCCACATTGGCCAAGTTACCGCATTCGGGAAGAAGCGGTGGGGGAGCTCACACGGGGCGTCACCCCGCGTGGCCCTGCCGAGCGTACGCCCGGGTTCAAGAAACTCGCCCCCCTCCCTCCCCCCCTCCCCCCCCAGTGCTTCAACCAGCACGCCGGGAGATGGACTCGGACCGGGGAAGCCTCCGGCCCGCACGACGGCCGTGCCGTGGGCAACTGCCTGGCCGAGCGCCCCGCAAATGAACCGCAATCTCACCGTGACGGTTCACCGACAGTTCCCTCTGAGAGCGCACGAGCCGCGTTCTCGGTTAGTCGTCTCGCGGTCCCTCGCCGGCGGTGAGCAACGATGTCGCCGCGCGGGTGTGGCGCGCACACAGAGGCAAAGGTCCTCCCCACCCACCGGATAGCCCACACAGGCCGTTGGGGCAAGTGCTATCGGCGAGCAGAACCTGTATGAAGGCCGAGCAGAGCTGTGCACGAGGGGGGTGGTGTGGCCACCACCACCACCACCACCACGCCCGGCCGGTCCGACCACCTTTGTCTCCCCAGTCTCTGGGTCTCTGTGTGAGGCTATAGGCATCAGTTTTCCTGAGGTGCTGGATTGCGCGGGGGCCGATGGGACGGGTGGAGGGGTAGTGCAGCAGTTCACAAGCATCTCCCCCCCCCCACCGCACCCCCACAGGGCAAGGCCGGTGCGTGACACACGCAGAGGAGGAGGCGGAAGAAGAAGAGGAGGAGGCGGCGGAGGAGGAGGAGCGAGTCGGAAGGAGTCGGCAGGTGATACGGGGCACATGGAGGACGGTGGAGCACAGCGTGGGGTGGGGCTGGAGGAGGTCGAGGGGGGGAGCCCGACCGGGGGGTGGGCTGCGGCAGCGCCGGTGGGGGGGAGCCAGCGGAGCGGTGGGGCTGTCGACGCCGTCCCGCGTCTCCAGGAGAACGGCTTCGGGAGCGGCGGCGCTCACCTCTCGGTCGCTCCAGGTGAGGCCGGCGGTGGCTGGGAAGGTGTTGGCCACACTCCCCTGGTGGTGTGCAGGAGGTCGTGGATTCGACCCCGACCCCTGGCTCCTGCTGTGCATTTGGAGTTTGCGGTGTCTCTCTCTCATCATCACCATCATCACGGTGGCTTGGAGATGTGAACTACCTCGCCTGGTCTACAGGCGGGTTCGTGGATTCGATCCCGACCCGGACGCCTGCTGCTGTATATTATTTGGAGTTTGCGTGTCTGTCTCTCTCTCTCCCCGTGGTCGCGTGGATTTTTCTCCGGGTCCTCCGCTTTCTCCCTCCGCGCTTAGAATCGACGACGTGTGTTATTTGGCTGCTGTTATGAATGTCCACGTGATGACGACGACGAGCCACTTGGTTGGGCTACTACCACCTGTGAAGGCCGCTTCTGAAAAACGAGCTGCATAGCTCAGTGGGTGCCCTCTTACCTCGGCAACCCCCCCTCCCCCCTCTCCCACTGGGGTACCCCCCCATCCTGGGCCCCCCCCCCCCACACACAGGGATCCCCCCCCCCCAGCCCACGTGTGCAGCCCTGATTCGCCTCTCACTCCAGACCATTTCCTGTTGTGGCCCCAGGGAATTCTCCACCGCGCGAGTCTCGTTCACACGCGGCGGCGGTCGCCCCCCCCCACCAACACTGGCCCTGTGTGTGCTACTGGCGGGGGTGGGGGGGGGGGTAAGGGTGGGGGGGATGGGTGGGGGGGGATGGGTGGGGGGGGTCTATGTTGGGGTTTCCTTGGGGACCCTTCGAGCAAGGAGGAGGGGAGGCCGTTAGTCCTCTTGGCGGTGGTCTTGGCGGTGGTCTTGGTGGTGGTGGTGGTGGTGGCGGTGGTGGCCTTGGTGGTGGTGGCGACGGTGGTCTTGGTGGTGGTGGTAGGCCATTGTATGCCGGGGTGGTGGTGGGGGGCGGGGGTCTCACGGTCAAAACATAAAATATCTTAACAAGCTACGCCGTGACAATTACTCGATTGGGATTACACACAGAGCCGCCCGCTGCTGGCAGACTGCTGCCGTGCCTCTTGCAGGCCGGGTGCACAGGGGCAGCTGCCGCCGGGGGTGCCCCCTTTGGTTGTCTGAGACGCGGTGCAAGACGCAAGGCGCTTTGGAGCTGTACAAATGTAAACCCCACGCGCGCACACACACACGCATGCACACACACACGCATGCACACACACACGCATGCACACACACACGCGCACACACACAAACATGCGCACACACACGCGCGCACACACAAACACACGCACACACACGCACACGCACGCATGCACACACACGCATGCACACACACACACGCATGCACAGGGTGGTGGGGCGAGTGGTGCTCGCGTGCGCCTGTTGAGGCCGGAACGGCACACGAGAGGTGGCCAGCATCACACCCGGCCGCCTTTGTCTCTCCCGGCGCTGGTGTTTACACGCACACACAACACACACGCGTGCACACATACACACACACAAACAGACACGCGTGCACACATACACACAGACACGCGTGCGCACACACAAACAGACACGTGCACGGCCACGCTTCACAACAACAGCCGCTATTCGCCACGTCACCGCGGCGCTTGTGCCAGGCTAGGTGCACTCCGAGGCCACGTGAAGTGTTGGAGGCTCGCTGACATGGGGTCACGGGACAGACCCAGGTGCCATGGGTCGACTGACTGAGACGACCGGTAGATGCACCACCAGCGGCCCCTACTTTGCCAACTTGCCGTGCTTTAATTAACACGGCGCTCCGCTCGTTGTTGTGAGAGCGTCGCTCCTCTGCCCTCCGTTGTTGTTGGAGGGCGACTGCCTCCAACTCCCCGGCAGCAGTAGCGTCCTTCACGAGCCTCCTCCACAGAGGCCGGTCTCGACACGGCTGGTACCGATCAAGTCCACTCCACCCACACACGCATACAAACAAAGACAAAGATCCCCCGTATCGCCTATACCAGACTGTTGGAGCCAGTGCTGTTAGCGAGCACCTATGAAGGCTGGAACGGCACACGAGGGGGTGGGTGACCAACACCACGCCCGGCCGCCTTTGTCTCCCCAGTGGCGATGTTTACACAGGTTCGTAGCGCAGCACGCTAACCCCTACACCACCTCTCGCCAACACACACACGTGCACATACACACACACACGTGCACACACACGTGCACACACACACCAATACCAATACCCGCCAAGTGACGGTGACGTCACCAGGGCGCCTGTGCCAGGCCAGGTGCACGTCGAGGCCACGTGAAGTGTCGAAGGCTCGCTGACAGGGGGTCACGGGACAGACCCAGGTGGTGCCAGGGGTCGACTGACTGAGACGACCGGTAGATGCACCACCCGTGCCCCCCACTGTGCCAACTCGCTGCATTTTAGCCGCCCGGCACTCCGCACACACACACGCACCCACCCACCCACACGTGCGCTCGCAAAAGACAAACCAGATGCACGCACGCACAAGCTGGTGAGTCACGCGTGTGCGCGTCGAAACCGCTCCATGGCTCCTTCCCGCGTTAAACCGACGCTGCGAGAGTCGCTGCCCGCGGACGGGAAGGCCGGGCCCGTGGTGGCTGATGGGATGGCTCGAATTGTTCTCTTTGTGTTTGATGTGGAGGGGCAGATCGGGGGTCGTGGGGGAGGGAAGGGTGCAGGACCCGCTCGCGTGTGTCTCTCTCCCCAGCGACGAGCTCCCTGCCTGCCGGATTCCGAGTGGAACATTCATACCGAGCGTCTCTCTCCACATCCTCCCTCCTCGCACTTTGTATCCTCTCTCCACTCCCTCCCTCCCCTCTTTCAAATCTCTCCCTCCCCTCTCCCCACTCTCCCTCCCCTCTCCCAAATCTCTCCCTCCCCTCTTCCAAATCTCTCCATTCCCTCTCCACTCTCTCCCTCCCCTCTTCCAAATCTCTCCCTACTCTCTCACCACTCTCCCTCCCCTCTCCCCACTCTCCCTCCCCTCTCCCAAATCTCTCCCTCCCCTCTTCCAAATTTCTCCATTCCCTCTCCCTCCTCTCCACTCTCTCCCTCCCCTCTTCCAAATCTCTCCCTACTCTCTCACCACTCTCCCTCCCCTCTCCCCACTCTCCCTCCCCTCTCCCAAATCTCTCCCTCCCCTCTCCACTCTCTCCATCCCCACTGTCCTTTCCCACTCTCCCTTCTCTTGCTACTCTCGCCCCTTTTATCCCATCTCACTCCCCACTCTCCCTGCACTCTCTCCTCTCCCCACTCTCTCCCTCCCCACTCTCCCTCCTTGCTCCCCACTCGTGTTAATTATGCAGCATGTTAGTCGTTTTGTAATTATGTGGCATTTTCGATGACTATATGAACACTGTTCCAATCTTCCCACTATCCCTCCTCTCCCAAACTCTCCCTCCCCTCTCCCCACTCTTCCTCCCCTCTCCCCACTCTCCCTCCCCTCTCCCCACTCTTCCTCCCCTCTCCCCACTCTCCCTCCCCTCTCCCCACCAGTGTTAATTTATTCAGCATGTTCGTGTTAGTCAGCAACTACATCCACTGTCTCCACACTCCTTTCTCTCTCCTCTCCCCCACTCTCTCCGTTGTCCTCCCCTGTTCACTCTCCCTTAACTCTCCCTTAACTCTCCCTTAACTCTCCCTTAACACTTGCCTTTCTCTCCACTCTTCCCTCTCTCCCACTACTCCCCCTTTCTCTCCAACCATTTCCTCTCTCTCCACTCTTCCAGCTCACACTTTCTCCCCCCCCCCCCATCTCTCCCTCCCCCTCTCTCTTTCCCCCCGTTGCTCTGTGTGGCATTAGCAGTCAAGGGAAGCACGTGGAGTGGGGAGGGGAGTGGGGGGTGGCGTGGGGGGTCGGGTGGGGGGTCGGGTGGGGGGTTGTGGGGAGTGGGGGGTGGAGTGGGGGGTGGAGTGGGGGGGTGGAGTGGGGGGGTGGAGTGGGGGGGTGGAGTGGGGGGGTGGAGTGGGGGGAGTGGGAGGGGTGGAGTGGGGAGTGGGGGGGGGCGTAAGGGGGGTGGCGTGGGGGGGGGCGTGGGGGGTGGGGTGGGTGGTGGGATGTGCGGAGTGGGGTGGGGGGTGGATTGGGGCTGTGGGAATATTTCGGATTATAGTTGAAAACAGAAATTGCTTCTGTCTCACGCCTTCCCGAGGGTTGTGTTTCTAAAGCTGCCCCCCCCCCCCCCCTGACACACTAATTAGACAAACGCATTAACAACAACAGCAACGCCAATTGTTATCCGAGGAGGGTGCCGGTTGATTCGGGTATGTTTTGGGACGTGAATTCCATCAGCAATGGGAGCTCAAATGGCTCCCCTGTGTTGGAGGGCAAAACTAAACCTGACCCCGGCGTGGAACCTCTACGCCGGGGTCAGGTTTAGTTTTTAGGTGTCGGTGGCGGGCTGCCGACACGGTGGGATTTAAACTCAACAATTAACACTCGACCATATTTTTATTTTGACTCGAAGCTTTCGTGACTGCAGGAATTCATCATATTTTGGTTCTTTCGGTAAAGTCACGTGGATAGAGACGGTCCGCCAGCTGTATTTGTTCACCTGTGGACGATCGCTTGTGTTGCGATGGAAACATCGTGGTTTTTTACCTTTTTATTATTTTCTATCTACGTGACTTTACCGAAAGAACCATAGAATATATATTGTTATTCTTACCGGGTAAGGCCGCCGCCCGGCTGCTATGGAGCTCTTTCTCAGAAGCGACCTGGCCAGCGCAAATGACCGCTCGGACGAAGTGGCTTATCGTCGTGTAGAAACGTAGAGCGGCCCGAATACTATGAACGCGCGGCGTTGACGCCTAATGTGGAGGGGGAAAATCTGAGGACCCGGGCGTAGCAGGCGAGGTAGTTAACATCTCCTAGTTACCGTGATGATGGTGATGATGAGAGAGAGACACAAACTCCAAATATACAGCAGCAGGCGTCAGGGTCGGGATCGAACCCACGACCTCCTGTAGACCAGGCGAGGTAGTTAACATCTCCTAGCCACCGTGATGATGATGAGAGAGAGAGAGAGACACGCAAATTCCAAATCTACAGCAGGCGTCAGGGTCGGGATCGAACCCATGACCTCCTGCGTACCAGGCAAGGTAGTTAACATCTCCTAGACACCGTGATGATGCTGATGATGAGAGAGAGACACGCACACTCCAAATCTACAGCAGGCGCAGGGTCGGGATCGAACCCACGACCTCCTGTATACCAGGCGAGGTAGTTAACATCTCCTAGCCACCGTGGTGATGATGATGATGAGAGACACGCACACCCCAAATATACAGCAGCAGGCGTCAGGGTCGGGATCAAACCCACCACCTCCTCCGTACCAGGCGAGGTAGTTAACATCTCCTAGCCACCGTGATGATGGTGTTGATGAGAGAGAGAGACACGCAAACTCCAAATATGCAGCAGGCGTCAGGGTCGGGTTTGAATCCACAACCTCCTGTATACCAGGCGAGATAGTTAACATCTTCTAGCCACCGTGATGATGGTGAGAGAGAGACACGCAAACCACAAATATACAGCAGCAGCAGGCGTCAGGGTCGGGATCGAATCCATGACCTCCTGCGTACCAGGCGAGGTAGTTAACATCTCCGAGCCACCGTGATGATGATGAGAGAGAGAGACACGCAAACTCCAAATCTACAGCAGGCGTCATGGTCGGGATCGAACCCACGACCTCCTGCGTACCAGGCGAGGTATTTAACATCTCCTAGACACCGTGATGATGCTGATGATGAGAGAGAGACACGCAAACTCCAAATATACAGCAGGCGTCAGGGTTGGGATCGAACCCACGACCTCCTGCGTACCAGGCGAGGTAGTTAACATCTCCTAGCCACCACGGAGCCCCGCATCCCCGATACGGACGGCCCCGTTCTCAGGTTCCGCTCGCTAACAGCAATTGCCCCAACAGTCCGCTCAAGGCTACCTGGGGGATCTTTGTCTTTGTGTGTTACTGCCGCAGGGGTTGTGGGCGAAGCGGGCGGCCCCAGGGAGGAGGCGCACAACGGGTCGTCGCCGTGCTCCGCTCAAGGTGCAGCACATCGCATTAGAGGACTGCAGAGACATCTCGATTTAAAGCTTTCGTGACTGCAGGGATTCATCTTCTTGGTTCTTTCGGTAAAGTCACGTAGAAGGGAAATAATAAAATAATTCAAATAAAACATTATTTTTTCTTTTATTATTTCCCTTCTACGTGACTTTACCGTAGAAGGGAAATAATAAAATAAACACATTTTTATTATTTTATTATTTTCCTTCTACGTGGCTTTACCGTAGAAGGGAAATAATACAATTATAATAAGAGCACATATTTTTTATTTTATTTTATTATTTCCCTTCTACGTGACTTTACCGAAAGAACCAAAAAGAGGACTGCAGGGCTCGGGGAATTATTGGTGGCGCCCGTTCTGGGTGCCTTCTTTATCGCCTGCCTGTGGTTTCCTGTGCCTCTTTGTCTCTCTCTCTCTCATCTTTGTCTCTCTCTCAGGCTAACGAGAAGCTGCGCTCGCTACAAATTATAACTAATTTGTTTAATTTATGAGACCGTGTCAGGCCCGATCCCTCTATCTCAAGATTCCACGCACTCCCCTGCCTCTCCCCTCTCATCTCACTCTACTCCCCTCCACGCACTCTCCTACCTCTCCCCTCTCATCTCAGTCCACTCCCCTCCACGCACTCTCCTGCCTCTCCCCTGTCATCTCACCCCACTCCCCTCCACTCACTCTCCTGCCTCTCCCCTCTCATCTCACTCCCCTCCACGCACTCCCCTGCCTCTCCCCTCTCATCTCACTCCACTCCCCTCCAAGCACTCTCCTGCCTCTCCCCTCTCATCTCACTCCACTCCCCTCCACGCACTCTCCTGCCTCTCCCCTCTCATCTCACTCCACTCCCCTCCATGCACTCTCCTGCCTTTCCCCTCTCATCTCACTCTACTCCCCTCCACGCACTCTCCTACCTCTCCCCTCTCATCTCACTCTACTCCCCTCCACGCACTCTCCTACCTCTCCCCTCTCATCTCACTCTACTCCCCTCCACGCACTCTCCTGCCTCTCCCCTCTCATCTCACTCCACTCCCCTCCACGCACTCTCCTGCCTCTCCCCTCTCATCTCACTCCACTCCCATCCACGCACTCTCCTGCCTCTCCTCTCCCCTCTCATCTCACTCTACTCCCCTCCACGCACTCTCCTGCCTCTCCCCTCTAATCTCACTCCACTCCCCTCCACGCACTCTCCTGCCTCTCCCCTCTCATCTCACTCCACTCCCCTCCACGCACTCTCCTACCTCTCCCCTCCTCATCTCACTCTACTCCCCTCCACACACTCTCCTACCTCTCCCCTCTCATCTCACTCTACTCCCCTCCACGCACTCTCCTGCCTCTCCCCTCTCATCTCACTCCACTCCCCTCCACGCACTCTCCTGCCTCTCCCCTCTCATCTCACTCCACTCCCATCCACGCACTCTCCTGCCTCTCCCCTCTCATCTCACTCTACTCCCCTCCACGCACTCTCCTGCCTCTCCCCTCTAATCTCACTCCACTCCCCTCCACGCACTCTCCTGCCTCTCCCCTCTAATCTCACTCCACTCCCCTCCACGCACTCTCCTACCTCTCCCCTCTCATCTCACTCCACTCCCCTCCACGCACTCTCCTACCTCTCCCCTCTCATCTCACTCCCCTCCATGCACTCTCCTACATCTCCCCTCTCATCTCACTCCACTCCCCTCCACGCACTCTCCTGCCTCTCCCCTCTCATCTCACTCCACTCCCCTCCACGCACTCTCCTACCTCTCCCCTTTCATCTCACTCCACTCCCCTCAATGCACTCTCCTGCCTCTCCCCTCTAATCTCACTCTACTCCCCTCCACGCACTCTCCTGCCTCTCCCCTCTCATCTCACTCCACTCCCCTCCACGCACTCTCCTACCTCTTCCCTCTCATTTCACTCCCCTCCACGCACTCTCCTGCCTCTCCCTCTCTGTCTCTATAATCCCTGCCCCCCCCAACTCTCGCTGGACTCTAAATGGGGGGGGGCTGTGCTGGAAGAGGAGATGGGGGTAGGGGGAGCAGCGTGGGACAAAGCAGTGCTGTTCATTTCTCTCTCCTCATACGCTCTCTCTCTCTCTCCCCGCTCGCTTTCTCCCCTCTCTTTCTCTCTCTCTCTCCCCCTGTATTCTCTCTCTCCCCGCTCGCTCTTTCTCTCTCTCTTTCTCCCCCCCTGCTCTCTCTCTCTTCCCGCTCGCTCTCTCTCCCCGCTCGCTCTTTCTCTCTCTTTCTCTCCCCCTGCTCTCGCTCTCTCCCCGCTCTCTCTCCGCGTGCTCTGCAACGTCGTTGCGTCGCTCCCGGCAACCGGCGAGGCTCGTTGATAAACTCGGACGATGTTCTGTAATGTCCGGTTCCCTTTCTGCCGCGTAAAACTATCGAGGGATCACCGAGCGAGCACCGAACAGGCAGTGTGGGCAGCGGGTCGAACGGAGATTCGACCGGCGGTTGGGGCTTAAATCTCTCCTGGAATATTCTCCGGCTCGCTGGCAGAATTTGGGTTGGTGGCACGTGACCACCAGATGCCACGGCCCCATCGCGAGAGGAGCGAGAGAGCGATGGTGGACGTGGTGTGCCGTGTGTGGGGATCGTGAAACCCACAATTAACCCCCACGTATTTTTTTAAACACATTTTTTAGTGAGATTTAGATTCGTCGCGTTTGTGTCCTTTCCCTTTAGTTTCTCAACGATTATTATCATCACCAACATCACCATCATCACCATCATCACCACCATCATCATCCCCACCACCATTATCACCATCATCATCATCATCATCCTCACCATCATCATCACCATCATCACCATCATCATCACCATCATCAATCATCATCACCATCATTACCACCATCACCATCATCAATATCATTATCATCAACATCATCAACATCATTACCATCATCGTCATTAGCATTATCATCATCATCACCAACATCATCATCACCAACATCATCATCATCACCATCATCCCCATCATCACCAACATCATCATCACCAACATCATCATCATCAGGAGCCTCGCGCTGTCCAGCCGGTACAACAAGTGTGGACTCCGTCTGTTCCATCGGGTGCTCTGGTTTCCTCCCAAGTGTAAACAATCCATTGTCAGATAACACCTTGCTATGTAGAGGGCCGCAGAGCTTGAACAATGGTTGGTGGTGCCGACTCGTCGCTCGACTCCTGCTGCCTTCCCACCCCTCGTTTGCGGTTCCTCCTCCTGGCGCTTCTGAGTCGTCCTCTGTCTCTCTCTGAGTCGTCCTCTCTCTCGAGTCGTCCTCTCTCTCTCTCTGAGTCGTTCTCTCTCGAGTCGTCCTCTCTTTGAGTCGTCCTTTCTCTCTGAGTCGTCCTCTCCGAGTCGTCCTCTTTCTCTGAGTCATCCCCTCTTATTCTCTGAGTCGTCCCCTCTTATTCTCTGAGTCGTCCTCTCTCTCGAGTCGTCCTCTCTCTCTGAGTCGTCCTTTCTCTCTGAGTCGTCCTCTCTGAGTCGTCCTTTCTCTCTGAGTCGTCCTCTCTCTCTCGGAGTCGTCCACTCTCTGAGACGTCCTCTCTCTCTCTCTCTCTCATTAAAGGTTGACATCGTTTCCATTATTACCCTCATCATCATTATCATCACGAAATAGCGGCGTGTGTTCCCCAATCCGCGTCATTTCTATTCCCGTCTCTCCGCGTTCCGTGGTAGCGCTGCACCCGCGCGCCACCTCTCCCTCGCCCCTCTGTGCACTTTTTAGAAGATCCCGTCCGCGGTTCCTTCGTGGTGGATTCCTGAGCCGATCCCGGGGGGGGGGGAGTAGGGGGGGGTCGTGGTGGCCCTCTCCCTCTACGATGATGTCACGGCGCTCCGCCGAGACCGCTCTCATCTCTCTCTCTCGGGAGGGGGGCGTGCGGGCGGGCGTGCGCGGTTCATCATCTGCGAGTTTTCGTTCCCGCTCTCACCGGTCCGCCTCGTTATCTTGCAGAAGCCGTGAGCGAGGAAGGCAGTGACCAGGCCTATGGAGCTTCCGGCAAGGTACGGTGGCGCTGACCGGATCCCAAATATCAAACCCCCGTTCTCTTCGCTCTGCGTGCCCTGCACTGACGGCTCGTACATGCATGCCAGCGATGAGTCTCACGTCTCCCTCGCTCGACAACAACAGCAGCTGCCGTTCGCCGCCACGTGGCGGTGACGTCGCCGCGGAGCTTGTGCCAGGCTAGGTGCACTCTCAGGAGGCCGCGTGAAGTGTGGAATGCCACGATGACAGGAGGCCACGGGACAGAGCCAGGGTGCCGAGGGGTTGACAGATGATTGGTCGCTCGTTCACAATCGCCCAGACACGAGTATCGGATGAGAAGATTGCCGATCTTTTTTTTACGTTCAGAATATTGCGATCTTTTGCATGCAGCTGGCGTGAACATTGCGGGCACTGCCCCTCCCCCATCCCGCCCCCCCCACCCTCCCACCAAGGGCACCCCCAGTGGCAGATGTCCCTGTGCGGCGCAAGGTAGCACGGCGCCCGGCCTAAAATCTGGCAACGAGTCTACCAGTAGTAGGTGGGATGGGGAGGAGGGGGGTGTGGGGTTGACGGACTGCTGCCTGCTGCTGCCTGCTGCTGCTGCTGCTGCCTGCTGCTGCTGCTGCTGCTGCCTGCTGCTGCCTGCTGCTGCTGCCTGCTGCTGCCTGCTGCTGCCTGCTGCCTGCTGCTGCCTGCTGCTGCCTGCTGCTGCCTGCTGCTGCTGCCTGCTGCTGCCTGCTGCTGCGTGTGCGTGCGAGATCCCTCCCTGGAGTGTCTTAGCGCCGTCGTCTTTTCGAACATCGGCAACGTTCGGGAGACCGCGACCGCCCCCTTGCCGAGCGGGGGCCACGGGATCTCCGCAGTGCCGGATTATCCCAGTAGCAAAAGCAGCTACATAAGTAGTAGCTACACATGTAGTAGCTACACATGTAGTAGCTACACATGTAGTAGTAACTACTACACGTGTAGCTACTACATAGCTACTACATAAGTAGTAGCTACTACTTATGTAGTAGCTACACATGTAGTAGCTACACATGTAGTAGTAACTACTACACATGTAGTAGTAGCTACTACATAGCTACTACATAAGTCGTTGCTACTACTTATGTAGTAGGTACTACATATGTAGTAGCTACGGGCCCCGCACTTTCAAGGGCCCCGCACTAAATGCTTTCAAGCTATCAATTCCGGTTCAGTGATTCTGCACTTGCTCTATGACTACAGTACTATACTGCCTTCGACTTTTATGAACGACCGGGTGTTTTAAGGTTAGCGATTTATCGTATTATCTGGCTGTATAGCAAATAAAAAAATACAATTGCTTTACTATGCAAGTGAAAAATTGTGTTTTAATATTCAAGTGTTTTTAATTTATTTGGGGCCCCTTTATAACAACATATGCTACAGGCCCCGCACCTCGCTTAGTCCGGCACTGGATCTCCGTCGCACACACGGCGAGCCAATTTGGCCCCGGCGTGCGCATTTACGGGTTGAGTGCGCGCGGGTGGCCGGTATTGACCGGGGCGGCCCGCCTGATGCGCACCGCGCTCCGGCCGTGCGCGGCCCTCCTTCCCCAGGACGCCAAGATGGGGGAGCGGCGCTCCGGCCTTCCCAAGCCGACCGCCATCCCCAAGCCCATCCCGGCCACCGCCGCTGCCGCCACCACCACCGGCACGAAGAGCGGCGCGCCCCGCCCGCCCCACAAGTGAGAACGCTCGCGCTCGCTCACTCGCTCACACTAGCTCGCTCACACTAGCTCACTCGCTCGCTCGCTCATTCGCTCACTCACACTCGCTTGCTCACACTCGCTCGCTCACACTAGCTCACTCGCTCGCTCACTCACACTAGCTCAATCGCTCACTCACTCACACTCGCTCACTCACTCGCTCGCTCATTCGCTCACTCACACTCGCTCGCTCACACTCGCTCGCTCACACTAGCTCACTCGCTCGCTCACTCGCTCACTCACTCGCTCACTCGCTCACACTCGCTCGCTCACACTCGCTCGCTCACACTCGCTCACTCACTCACACTCGCTCACACTCGCTCGCTCAAACTCACTTGCTCACTCTCGCTCGCTCACTCACTCACACTCGCTCACTCTTGCTCACTCACTCTCGCTCACTCACTCGGTCACTCACTCACACTCGCTAATTCACACTCACTCGCTCACACTCGCTCGCTCACTCACACTCGCTCACTCATGCTCACACACTCGCTGACTCACTCGGTCACACTCGCTCTCTCACACTCGCTCGCTCATGCTTGTTCACTCACACTCGGTCGCTCACACTCGCTCACTCACTCATTCACTCTCGCTCACTCATTCGCACTCACTCACACTTGCACTCACTCTCACACGCTCGTTCACACTCGCTCACACTCACTCACTTATACAAAGACAAAGACCCCCCGTATAGTCTTAACAGACTTGGGGCAAGTGCTGTTAGCGAGTAACACCTATAAAGGCCAGCACGGCGCAAGAGGGGGTGGGTGACCAGCACCACGCCCCTCTCCTCTCTCTCCCCTCTCCTCTCTCCTCTCTACCCTCTCACCTCTCTCCTCTCTACCCTCTCACCCCAAACCTCTCTCACCACTTTCCACTCTCTCCCCTCTCCCCCCCACACTCCTCTCCACTCTCCCCTCTCCTCACTCTCTCCCCTCTCTCTCCCCTCTCTCCCCTCTCACCCCACACTCCTCTCCCCTCTCCCCCCCACACTCCTCTCCACTCTCACCTCTCTCCACTCTCTCCCCTCTCACCCCACACCCTTCTCCCCTCTCCACTCTCCCCCCCACACTCCTCTCCCCTCTCCCCTCACACTCCTCTCCACTCTCCCCTCTCCACTCTCACCTTTCTCCACTCTCTCCCCTCTCACCCCACAACCTTCTCCCCTCCCCCCTCCCCCCTCTGCCCCCACGCCCCGCAGGCATCACCTCGCCGCCGCAGGGAGCAGCGTCGGCGCGGGGCGGCGGCGGCGCCAGCTCCTCGCAGCCGTCATCAGCAGCATCGTCGGCAGCGGGGGGCGGGGGAGGTGGGGGCGGGGGAGGAGGTGGGGGCGGGGGAGGGAAGAGTTCGTCGTCGTCGTCGAAGCCGTCGCGACCCCGCAAGAAGAGCGGCACCACGACCCCCACGACCCCGGGCACCCCCGGGAGCCTCAACCACTGGAGCGGGATCCTCACCCCGCTGAGCCGCCCCCACTCCACGCCCACGCCCGTGCGGTGAGCGGGGGGTGGGGGGCACGGGGGCTGGGGGGCACGGGGGAGCGTGGGGGAGCTTGTCGGCCACCCAATTTCTGTGGGGCCACGGGGAGACGGTGGCGTGTGGGAGCGCGGTGGTGCTGGGGGAAGAGGTACAGGTGCCCCCCCTCCCCACCCATGCCCCCCTCCTCACCCGTGCCCCCCTCCCCACCCCCCACTCGTGCCCCCCCCTCTCCCCACCCCCCTCCTCCAAGGCCCACGCCCCCCTCAACACATTTTTTGTTAGATATTCAAATGAGCAAAGTAAAAAAAATCCATAAATTAACATAAATTATAGCAAAGTAGGGTGATGCGCACGTGTCTGTATCTGTGTATACGTGTCTGTGTGTGTGCGTGTGTACGTGTCTGTGTATACGTGTCTGTGTGTGTGTATACGTGTCTGTGTATACGTGTGTGTGTACGTGTCTGTGTGTGTGTGGGTATACGTGTCTGTGTATACGTGTGTGTGTGTATGCGTGTGAGTGTGTGTGTGTTTGTGTATACGTGTCTGTGTATACGTGTCTGTGTGTGTGTATACGTGTCTGTGCGTGTGTGTGTATACGTGTCTGTATCTGTGTATACGTGTGTGTGTGTGTGTTAGCGTGCCATGCTTCTACGAACCCCGCGGCACGCGGTTCGATTCCCGCCCGCGGCCAACGCCAGCGACGTTTATCTGAACCGCTCCTCGGCCTCCCCTAGGTCGACTCGGCCTTTAAGCGAGTACCCCCCGGTGCGGTGCGTAAACATCGGCACCGGGGAGACAAAGGCGGCCGGGCGCGGCGCCTGCTGAAGCGCCGGCCATCAACTCTCGCCCCAACAGCCCGTCACAGGCCTCCGCGGGGCCCCTCTGTCTTTGTGCGCGTTGCAGGGACAAGGTGGCGATCATTCGATCTGCGCCCCGCGCCGCTCGACCCCGGGAGGTCACGACCCCTCCTGCCCAGCTCGACCTCTCACACGTGCGCTCTAAGATATCCTCCCACCACGGCAACGCCAAACACCAGCCTGCGGAGGGGCAGGTGGGGGCGGGGGCAGGTGGGGGCGGGGGAGGTGGGGGAGGGGGCAGGTGGGGGAAGGGGCAGGTGGGGGAGGGGGCAGGTGGGGGCAGGGGCAGGTGGGGGCGGGGGAGGTGGGGGAGGGGGCAGGTGGGGGAAGGGGCAGGTGGGGGAGGGGGCAGGTGGGGGTGGGGGAGGGGGGCAGGTGGGTTCAGGGGGGTCTCTGGGTTCAGGTGGGGGCTCTCAGCTTGCTGCCTGGGTGGGGGTTGTCACGGGGCTCTGCGACTCTGCAGCGCCACCCGCTGGCCGGCCGCCGGGTCGTGAGCGCGTGGGCGGCGGCCTCCACAATTCCAGGCCGCCGTGGGGCTCCAAGCAGCGGGGTCAGGCCGGGGTCAGGCCGGGGTCAGGCCGGGGTCGCAGTGACCACAGCTGCTGCCGCTGCGTGAGCGGCACAAGCCTGGGTTGACTCACCCGCAGTGTTAACCAGCGATCACTCACCTGCAGTGTTAACCAGCGATCACTCACCCCCACCACCGTAGTTCGCTCGCCCACGGGAGCTCGCTTGCTAATCCGCGGGTGTGTGTCCCACGCAGACGCAGGTCTTCAGCGAGAAGCAGGACTACAGCCACGTGAACTCCAAGTGCAACTCCATGGCCAACCTGAGGCACTCCCCCGGCGGAGGGAACGTGAGTGTGCTCTCATTATTACGGCGATAGAAAAAATGTAACGTCGTTTTTTGTCTCCTCTGGGTGCAAATCTCGTCGTCGCTGTCGTTTTGCTGCGACCGTTGAGAGAGGGGGGGGGGTGCGTGGGTTTGAGTGAAAACGCGGTGCGGATTTTGTTACCGACGGCCGGCGCGCTCCTCCTCCTCCCGACGCCGCCGTGTCGTCTGTGCCGCCCGCGCCGCCAGGTCCAGATCACCACGAAGAAGATCGACTTGTCCAACGTGAGCTCCAAGTGCGGCTCCTTCAACAACGTGCGCCACAAGCCTGGTGCGTCCGTGCCCCCACCACCTCCTCCCCCCACCACCAACACCTCCCCCCCCCACCACCTCTTCTCCCTCCCCACCACCACCTCTCCCCCCACCACCTCTCCCTCCCTCCCCACCACCACCTCCCCCCCCCCCCACAACCACCTCCCCCCCCCCCCCACCACCACCTCCCCCTCCCTGTGTCCTCACGACGCGCGCAAGCACACACACAAACACGCACAAACACACACACGCACACACACACACACACAAACACACACGCACGCACACATACGCACACACACACGCATACACACGCACACACACAAACACATAGGTCCCCTACGTAGCCTTTAACCCCGTTCCGATGCACGTCCGTCGTCGTGTGAACGTGCAGACGCGGTTCGTCCACTAGGGGCGCTGGGGCGCCGCCCCACCAAGCAGCTGGAGATGAGAAATTATTTTTCCAATAGAAAATAATTTTCGATAAATTTTTTGTGTTTAAAAAAATCAATGATTCTTTCAACGCGAATTGCCTAATGAAGATAACATTTAAAGTTGTTCGTATTAGAAACCGCCGCAACGCCGCAGTTTGATTTGTATCTCGGGCAGGTCTCAGGGCGACTGTGAATGCGTCCGAGTGAGAGAGATTTCTCTTCATTCGTTGCGATGAGCTTCGCATCGTAGCCACGCCGTGTGAGACCCCATTCAGGGTGGGTGAGGAAGACGCCCGTGGCTGTAATGACGACGTCACGACGTGAGGTTGCACCGTGCACATATAGCAGCTCACGGCTTTTGGCAGCGTCAAAGGGGTTGTGTAGTGTGGACTTGAGGGCCATGGGGACAGCATTTGAGTGCTTTGTTGTTTTGTTTCGCATTGTTTATAAACGCCTACCGTTGGTAGATAAGACAGTTGTATCACTTTCACGGGAAGGCCAATAACATGACGAGGTTTTTCATTATTAGAACGCCACATTGTCAGAGGTCACTTACAACAGCCCCATCTAGTGGAGATGTCACGAGCCGCCACTGCGCAAGTGCACGTCGTCATGCATACGAGTCCACGTGTTACGTCGCCACATGCGTGTTACATCATCGTCCACGTGTTACGTCGCCACACGCGTGTTACGTCGCCCTACGACGCGTCGTACGTGCATCGGAACGGCATCGGAGGTGAAAGGCCACGCGGGAGGGCGCCTGGCACCAGTTTTGTCGCCGGCTATGGTAGAGCGGCGTCGGTGGCGCCGCTACGGTTCTCCGTGGCGGCGCTGCTGCTGCTACTGCTGCTGCTGCGTCTCTCTAAATAACTTGAACGGCGAGCCGCTCGCGCGTGCCGAGGATTCTGCGGCGGGCGGGGAGACGCGCCACCCCCACCCGCCCTGCGACTTGCGGTGCGTCTCGGAACGGGAGAGGGTTCACCGGCTGTCAGGGCGAGCGCCGCTAGCGAGCGGCAGGCGGCGCCTACGAAGGCCGGCACGGCGCACGGGGCGGAGGGGGGGGTGGCCAGCACCACGCCCATTCGGGGTCACTTTTCCATCGCGAGTGGCGACGTTAACCCCTCATTTGAGGCTGAGTCGACCTCAAGGAGGCCCAGGACCGGTTCGGATATTCGTCATTAACTCCGGCTGGCGTCCTTCCCCTGGCGCGGCGCTGCACCACGAACCCGGACACCCGAGTCCAACCGTTCCCGCGTCTCCCCTTCGTCAGCTCGTCATCATCGCCGGGCCTGGTTCCGGCCGCCCCCCGCTCCTCCGTCGGCACCATCGTAGGCGCTCGCGGCACTTGGCCTCACAAGCATTTCCGCTGAGGCTGCGCGCGTTGGGGGGACCTTTGTCTTTGTGCAGGCGGAGGGAACGTGCAGATCCAGAGCCACAAGCTCGAGTTCAAGGATAAGGCCAAGTCCAAGGTGGGGTCCTTCGACAACACGACCCACACGCCGGCGGAGGCAACATCAAGGTAACGTGGGTCCTGGTGCGAGCGATCACATCGCAGCCACTTGGCGGGAAGCGTGGGGTGAGGCCACCGTTCGCTAGTTCGCTCGCTCGTGCGGGGACTAAGTACCCCCCGTGTAGTCTCAGCAGACTTGGGGGCAAGTGCTGTTAGCGAGCAGCACCCGTGAAGGCCGGCACGGCGCACGAGGGGGCCGGTGGCCAGCACCACGCCCCTCACACCGCCTCTCCTCTCTCCACTCTCCACTCTCACCCCTCTCCCGGCTCCAGTCTCACCCCTCCACTCTCCACTCTCACCCCACGTCCCTCACACCCCCTCTGCTCTCTCCACTCTCCACTCTCACCCCTCTCCCGGCTCCAGTCTCACCCCTCCACTCTCCACTCTCCACTCTCCACTCCCACTCTCCACTCTCCACTCTCCACTCTCACCCCACGCCCCTCTTCCGTCTCCACTCTCACCCCTCCACTCTCACCCCACGCCCCTCTCCCCTCTCACTCCACGTGCTGCAGGCATCACACACAAACGCTGTAAAAGTCCCTCCGCTTGGCTCGCCAGGAGAAGGCGGTGACACGTAGACACTCCGCCTCTTCTGTATTGGATGGGGTAGAGGAGCGCAGAGCTCGGGCAATTCTCAGTGCCGGCTTCTCGTCACCGTGTGGCTGCTGCTACTGCTGCTGCCTTCCCGCTCGCCTGTGGTTCCTCCTCCCCCTCCTGGCACCTCCAAGTAGCCCTTTCCTCTCTCTCTCCCCGAGTCGTCCCCTCTCCCCCCTCCCTCGCTCTCTCTCGCCGCGAGCGAGCGGTGGACACCGTACGAGCGAGCGCCGTGCTTCTCACGTCGCCCCGGCGGCTCGAGTGGGGCCCCACCGCCGTTTCTCGCGTAAACACGCGTGTCGTGTGTGCGTATGTGCGTGTCGTATGTGTGCGTGTGTCTCCCGTGCGTGTCGTGTGTGTGTGTGCGTCTCCCGCGTGTGTGTCGTGTGTGTGTGTGCGTGTCTCCCGCGTGTGTGCGTGTCTCCCGTGCGTGTCTCCCGTGCGTGTCTCCCGTGTGTCGTGTCTCCCGTGCGCCGCGTCTCCCGTGCGCGCCGCCGCAGATCGAGAGCCACAAGCTGAACTTCCGCGAGTCGGCGCGCTCGCGCACGGACCACGGCGCCGACATTGTGTCGGCGGGTCACACCCCGCGCCGCCTCAGCAACGTGAGCTCCGCGGGCAGCGCCAACCTTCTGGAGTCGCCGCGCCTCTCCACACTCGCCTCCGACGTGTCGGCCGCCCTCGCCCAGCAGGCGCTGTGACAGCCCCCCCCCCCACCCACCCTCACCGCCCCCCCACCACCAAGCCTGCCCTACTCCCCCTCGAGCGATGGCTCCCTTCTTGTTTCTACCCCGCTCACTCTCTCCTCTCTCTCCTCTCTCGCTTCCCCCGTCTCTCGCCGATTGACCTTCGTTTGCCTCTCTTCTCACTCGGACCCATCCTCCCACTCTCCACTTTGTCTCTCTCCTCCCTACTATCGTCCCCCCCCCCCACCACCTCCGCTCTCTCCTCTCGCCTGTCTTGATCCCCTCCCTCCATCCCTGAGTGAGTCCGAGCTGAGCTCCGGGCGGCTGGGCGGTTGTGTGGTCTTTGTCCCGAGCAGTCGGACAGAATCCCCAGCGGGATCTCCATGAATCTCCACGCCTCATATAGCTCTCCGTAGGTCACGTGGGAGAGCGCTCCGCCTCCCCGTCACCGTCTCCCCGTCACCGTCACCGCCTCCCTGTCACCTTCACCGTCTCTGTCACCGTCTCTGTCACCATCTCCCTGTCAACGTCTCCCTGTCACCGGGGGAGTCGTTTAGATTCACTCGGAGGCGGTGATGAATCGGAAATTCCGCCACCGGTTAAGGTGTTGGTTAAGGGAACCGGATAAGGGAACTTCTTGTTTAAGGGACCAGTTAAGGGACCAGTTAAGGGAACGGTTAAGGGACTGGTCAAGGGTCCAGTTAAGGGTCCAGTTAAGGAGCCGTTTAAGGGACCAGTTCAGGCGACTGGTTAGTTTGTAGTGATGATGATGTTGTTGTTGTGGGGCTGTAGCGGCGCGCTGGAGACGATCGCGAGTTGGGAAGTGCGAATTTGAGAACGCACATTGACCCATCGCTCCCTTCAACGGTGGAAATTCCACATTCCCATGGCGGTGGGAGCGGTGGGGGCAGTCTTTCCGTACGTCAATAACGACGGCTATAGCGACAACCCACCCTCGTGGACCCGGTCGCACAGTTTGTATCCTGGCTCGTGACCCACGGGCAAAGTTTACCTGCTCCGTCGTGCTCGCCCGTGCCTCTCCGCTGCTGGACGGATTCCTCGTCCATCCAGAAGTTGACGACGACGATGCCCAGTGCCGGATTAAGCTAGTGCGGGGCCTGTAGCATACGATGTTATTAAAGGGGCCCTAAATAAAATACAACACGTAAATATGAAAACACTAACTTTTTTTTTACTTTGCATAATAAAGTAATTGTATTTTTTCATTTGCTATACAGCCAGATAATACGTGAAATCGCTAACCTTTAACACCCGGTCGTTCGCAAAAGTTGAAGGCGGTATAGTACTATAGTAATAGAGCAAGTGCACAAACACGGAACCGGAATTGATAGCTTGAAAGCATTTAGCGCGGGGCCCTTGACAGTGCGGGGCCCGTAGCATGTGTAGCTACTACTACATGTGTAGCTACTACTATATATGTAGCTGCTACTACATGTGTAGCTACTACTATATATGTAGCTACTACTACATATGTAGCAGCTACTACATATGTAGCTACTTGTGCCACTAGGATAATCCGGCACTGACGATGCTGATGTCGTCGTTGTACGTGCCGAGCGGACGCCCCGGGTGGGATTTGTACTCGTCAGCCTCTCGCGTTGGCCGCGGCGCCGCCCCTCCTGCTGCCCGACGAGGAGCGCGTGCCGACGTGCGTGTCGGCACGCGCCCCTCGATGCCCGCGAGCGCCAGCGGGAACGGTCCGCTGGCGTCGCCATCGCGCCTCTCGGTCTCCGATCGCGCGCCCAGGGGTTTATTTATTCGCCGTGAGGTCGTTTGCCGTGCGGGCCGTCGACTCCTGTGGTGGGGGGGCGGGGGGGGGGCGGAGGTGAACCGGGACTTGGTCGCGGTCGGGACTCGGCGAATACTCGGCGAGGACTCGGCGAGTCCTTGGGGGAGACTTTCGCCGTCCCCACACGCCGGGGGGGGGGGCACCCCCCCCACAGTACGCCGGATGAAGGCTTCGTGGTCGTTTGACCATACTTCACCGCGCTGGTCAGTGCAGGTCAGTGAAGGTTACGGGGGGGGGGGGGGGATCAGGTTCAGACGTCGTTGGAACTTTGACTGCCGGGTTTGTAGCGCGGTGCGTTAATCGCGGCACCACCGCTCCACCCCCGGCACTGCTGTAGGTACGGTTGGCCTCGCGCTAACGTTAGTTGGACGACGCTTTCACGTTTGTAACCGCTCGCTAGTACGATTTAAAATAATATTTAATTTTGAATAATAACGAGAATAGTCGACTATCCCTTGGCAATTCCACTGCTGGATGAAGGCCTTTCCCATGCTCTTTTCAACCACGGGGGGGGTGGGGGTTGTTTGACCATACTTCACCAGGCTGGTCAGTGTGGGTCGATGGTGCGGCGCGCCCATGACCCCACGTGTTTCGGGAATTGTTGGAACTCATCGCCGCCAGGTTCATAGCGCAGTGCGCTAACCGCTAGGCCCACCGCTCCTCCCCCCCCCCCCCCCCCCCCCCCCCCCCCCGCTTTAAGACGTGTTACCGATAGCGTTTTTAGCAAAAATTTGACAAATTTTATTTGGCGATGAACCGGCTGCTGCGGCTGCTGCGTTGGCAGTGGCGCACAAGCACAATTAGCAGAAGGAAAGCACTCGACACGACTCCGTCTCAGTGACCACACGTGTGTGCGTGTGTGCGTGTGTGTGTGTGCGTTGGCTTCAACGAAAAAAAACATAAATTATAATATAACAGGCGACCTTCGGGGCAATGGTCCCTTCTTAACGGAACGGTGCCCGATTCGCAAACGTGAAGGAGGAGAAGGGAGGGAGGGTGCCATCATCAGCGCAGAGGCGATGACCCGCCACTCAGCGACTCCCGGACGCAATCATCCGCCTCATCAACCACCTCGCTGTAGAATGACCGCTGTTGCTCTACGCCAGCGGTCCTCCATTGCAAGGCCCCCGCGGGCCACTGGCGGCCCCTGGCGTGCAGCCCCCTGACAATACACAAAGATTTACACCCCCTCCCCATCATCATCGTGCTGCTGTCAAACTCCCCAATGGTTTCAAATGTGTGGCGGCCCTCCTCACACTGATGATGTCGTATCGGCGGCAAAAGTGCCCCCTAACAACGCCAGTCGCCATACGTCGGCAAACGAGACAGCACACAAACGACGCTTCGTCGTAGAAAGGTCATTGCCTGAAATGTCGCCTGTTACAGATATTTTTTTTTGCCTTTCAGGGCCACGCACGCACGGATGTACGCGCGTGGCATCGTCGCTGACGCGGAACGCGTTCAGAGTTCCGTGTTCGCTAACCGAGGTCAGACCGCCCACCGAGGCTCGGCGTGACGGGCCCGTCTCCGGACCAGTCCTCCCGTGAACTTTTAGTCTCCGTCGTCTGTGTGTGCGTGTGTGCGCGTGCGGGCGTGTGTGTGCGTGCGTGTGTGTGCGTGTGCGCACGCGCGTTGTATAAAATATTTTATACGGTACTTGTATTTAACGGGAAAAATAGAGCCTCTCTGGGTAGCTTTACGTAACCAATTTGTATAATTTCTAGGTCGTTTGTTGTTGTTGTGGAGGTTGTTTTTGTTGTCCCATGGTGGCTTTGTTTGGGCAGTCTTCCGAAAGTCCGGCGGGCGAGGGGGGGAACGGGCGCGGAGATGGAGGGGGTCCAGGGTTCGGGCTGAATGGATGGAATCTGACCCAAATAATCCCGCCCGTACATACGTGTGTATGTTGAACTTCTTTCGCACCATACGTAGCCAGCCGAGCTTCCCGGAGGTGCGGGACTACGAACTCCATCCCATGTCGGTCCTTCCACGTAAAAAAAAAAAAATTCCACACATCCCATCAGCCACACACGACGACAGGGGGCAGCATTCTGTTCGGACCTCTTGGCCCCCCGCTCCGATAGCCCCCCCCCCCCCATCGTAGCGATGAACGACGAGACGTTGACCGTCAAGCGGCGTCGCTACCGCGCGCCCCTCTTCACAGTAAACCGGTCACATTGACAGCCCCCCCCGAGGGCGGTTTACTCCCCATCAACTTGGCAGACGCAAGCGGCGCTAAAGGACAGAGAACTATTTGCAAATATGAGAACACGTTATTCATAGCGACAGCCCCCCCCCCCTCGTCCTCCGTGCCAGCGAGTTAGCCGCGTCCGAGGACAGACGCCACGCACGTCACGGGGATTCGCGCGGATGTTCCGCACTTGCTGGATCATTTGCACTTGTTACTACAATCCATCGCTGTTCACAGATCGCTCGCGAACTTAGGCGTCCTGGGATGTTTTTTTTTAGCCCTCCATTAGACGAGGCTTGAAATTTTGCTGCCCTAACCTGGATTTGGGTATTTTTTGGTGTGTGTCCTTGGTGTCGTTTTTTTTTACGAATGTTGGCGTCAACACTGGGACCGTGACGCCGGCAACGCGCGGGCCAATCCGTCGTTCCGAGGGCCCCCCCCCCCCCCCCCCCCCCCGGTGGCAGCGGTCCCTGTGTGACACGAGGCGACTCGGCACGTGGTTCGCATTGGCGGTTGGGCACAGCTGCTGCACGCTCGTTGACCTCCCCGCTAATGTGGCCGCTCACCCAGCAGACACGGGACGTTGGGGGTTACAACGTTCTGCCAACGTTGGACGCCAACGTTGGGCAAACGTTGGTCCATCAGCTCCGACTACACGCCGACGTTGGCATGTTTAACCGGGTAAGCCATATTGTCCACCCAGGAGAGGTGATCACGACGATGGCGATGATGGGCCGTGCCTAACCACGGGACCTGAGTTTGAACACCCCACGTCCACCCGTCACTGTCGGATGGCAGCAGCAGCAGCAGCAGCAGCAGCACCAACGGGTGAACTCTCGCGCGTGTGCGCACACGCGCGCACAATTAATTTCTCAACCTTGCGCGAGTGGCGGCACGGCTGGTGGTCGCAAGTAGCCCTAGAGTTAGTGGATTTATCATCATTATTATTAATAATAATTATTATTACTGTCGCGCGTTCGCATGTGTAATCTGTCGCGACGCGGGCGTGGGGGGGGGGCGTGGGGGGGGGGTCGCGGGGGGGGCGGGCTGGGGGCGGAGGCTGGGGGCCTATGCCGTTTGCCGAAAAGTATTAACTCGATTGTACGGATATATATAGAGGGACGCCGTTGAGATGTTTTTATTGTCGTCGTTACGCGAGCTTGTACCCCCCCCCCCCCTCCGAGTGATGTTTAGCCTCGTGACGTTTTTACTAAACGCGTCGATATTGGGGGGGGCGGGAGAGGGAGTTGTGGGGGGCGGGCGGGCGGTATAAATGTCGTCGTTCTAAAACGCTCGGTCACCGTTTAACCGTTGTTTACCGATAGCGCCACGCACGATCCGGACTTCCCCGCCCGTCACATTCCGCTTGCTTGTGACCACTGTACCGCTTTAAACGCATGTTTGTAACAAACACCCCCCCCCACCCCTTCCGCCGAATGTCCTTTTATATATATAAAAAAAGTTACAATCTTTATACGAGCTGAAACACACTAACCTAACGTTTCCCCGGTGGTGGTGGTGGTGGTAGATTCCGCGTGCGGTAGTAACTGCGGTGCGGTCCGTCCATTAACGCGATCGTCCCTCTCGTCGCGAGGTTGAGAGTTACTCGTGCACTGCAGTCGGGACAGCTGTTTCAGCTCGTCGTGAAACTCTGCCAACGAGTCCCCCCCCCCACCCGCCCCGTATAACGGTCGTCGTCGTGGTTCGTGAATACTATTATCGTTGCTACTCCTACAACCAAATTGGCGATGCTCATTTTCGCCGAGGTGACGGCGGGAGATGGACGGGAGTTAAGTTTTGATTTCTCGGAGTCGCGAGTCGTGCCCGGCGTCCTCGCTTGACGAACGTGTCGTTGACCCGACTCGGCCATGTTTCTCGAGAAAGCCGGAAGGGGGGCGTGGGAGGGTGGCAGCGGACAGGGGCACGGCCGGGTACGTTCTCGTCTTCTCCCAACGTCTCTCCGGCGATGGCACGCGGCCGGCGGGTTCGCGCGGTCGGATCGTCCCGCGGAATAGTCGTCGCGTGCGGTGCGTCGTCCGCGGTGCTCCCCGTTGCTCGTCCGCCGTGCTGATTTTTGTTGTTGACCAGAACCGTCTTTGAGTGCCGATTCTTTTTTTCAGAGCCGAAAGATTTGGTGTCGGGAGTTTTTCTTTGTGTCGAGAACGTTTTTACAGAGGCGGGGGTTCGATTGGCTTCGGCGGGGGGGTAAATGTTGGCACGCGCTCATAAACGGGTTTAAAAATCGACAACCGATGGCTCGAATCGGCGGGGATAGCAGCACGGACGCAAACACGACACGTGCGTGCGTTCGTAGATTAGCCTAACAACCCTCGCACGGCCGTCGAGCTACAATAGTTTAATCGCCATATTCCTGCTGCGCAGCTTTGCTTTCCGGGGCTTCCTCATTGGCTCTGCCCCTGGATGTGAGCGCCGATTCCACCAATTGTTTGCCGTGTCGGTCGCTCTTCTGACGGCGAAGGACGTTGGCTGCCGGCGTCAACCCGTCGCCTCGCACATAACCGGGAAGACCGCCACGGTGTTTTCCGTTACCCATTTTCCTTTCTCTTCCTCCTCTCCCCAATAATTCCGCGGCAAATGACGAGAGACGCCTTGACGGGGACCAGGCGGGCCTGAATTTCACCGGCGCCTTTGGCCTGCGTGACTGCTGCTTGTGCCATTAACTTGGTGTCGCACCAGAGTTCTAGCTGGTGCTTAATGTCCTCACCACACTGACCTGACCATGAAACCTGCTTCCCCGTGCGTCCCCAATCGTGGCAGTGCTAGGTTAGCCCCACCGGTGCACTGGTCAAGTCACCGATGTGCCCGGTTTCAGGTGGGTGTGTAGTCGTGTGCACGTGTCTTTGTGTATGTCGTGTGTATGAGTGGGGAGGGGTGGTGCAGTGGTTCGCGCGCTGCGCTACGAAACCGGCGATCCGAGTTCGATTACCGCTCGCGGCCACCACCAACACCAAGTGACGATTATCTGAACCGGTCTTGGGCCACCCCTAGGCCGACTCGGCCTCAAATGAGTAGCTGGTGCGATGCGGACACATCGCAAATGGAGAGATAAAGGCGGTCGGGCGTGGTGCTGGCCACCCATCCCCTCGTGTACCGTTCCGGCCTTCATAGGTGCTCGCTAACAGCACCTGCCCCAACAGCCTGCTTCAGGCTATACGGGGGGGATCTTTGTCTTTGTATGTCGTCCACCCTCCTCGCCGTCCCCCCAAGTAGGTGACTTGTGGTGCCCGGTCGGTCTTCCCCGTCGTAGCGGTGGACTTAACCCCTCGCATGGCCTCGTCCATTTACCGTGTTGTCCACCACCACCACCACTGCCTCACCTCCTCCCCCGGTTCGCTGTTCTCGCGTTGTGAATGTGCTGCGTTCGGTTAGTGCCGTTAGCTTCCCAGCATCCCAGTGCCGTGTCCTGTAATCGTCCGCCTGAGAAAATAAACCCACCATCTGTAACACCCAGCTTCTTTGCGCTGTCGGTTCTTTCTGGTGCGAGTTCTTTTAAAAACACTCTACCCCTTTTTCCACTGGCACATCCGAACCGAGCCAGCGCGGGTTACCCTCACGGTACAGGTGGCTTTACCCGCTGGCTCTTCTCTGATAAAAAAAAAACTTTTCCACTGCCGCATCTAAACTAAACTCATTTAACTATTTTTTTTTTCCCCAGGTAAGGCCCACTGAGCTATATAGCTCTTTTTCAGAAGCGATCTGATCATCACAAATTATAGCCCAATGAGAAGTGGCTTATAATGCGTAAATGTATAGCAGCCAAATACTCTAAACGCACATTGATTCTGAAGGTGGAGGGAAAAACCGAATACAATCAAACTCCAAATATAGAATAGGCGTCGGGGTCGGAATTTAACCAACGACATCCTGTATAGCAGGCGAGGTAGTTAACATCTCACTAAGCCAGCATGTGGGCCCGCATGCTACAGGTGATTGTTTTTTTCCCACACTGGCCATTTGCCTCGCAAGGCTGCTGAACCTGGCCCCACTTGGCCAGATTCAGGCGACGTCCGTGGCCGCTGTGGCTCCGGCCACATCAGCTCCACGCCAATCCCGGAGGCTCAACTGACAGGGGGACTCGGACAGCCGCGGCAGTTCAGCGGGTGCGGAGGAGTGCGCTACGACCCTGCGCTGGTCACGCCACTTACACAGGAGTGAGTGCCGATTCTCCACGGAGAACGTAGGATTGGAATGCGGTTTGTCGGTCGCTCTTCACCGTTCTGCCATCAACGTATGCCGTCGGCCTCTACGGAGGAGGCTCGTGAAGGCAGTCACCCTCCAGCAACGACGGAGGGCAGAGGAGTGATGCTAAGCAACGAGCGGAGCACCGGGCGGCTAAAATGCAGCAAGTTGGCACAGTGGGGGGGTACAGCTGGTACATCTACTGGTCATCTCAGTCGGCCAACCCATGGCACCTGGGCCTGTCCCGTGTTCTGTCGGCAAGCCTTTGACACTTCACGTGGCCTCAGTGCACCTGGCCTAGCACAGGCCCCGTGGTGATGTCACTGTCACTAAGCGGCAAATGGCCAGTATTGGTATTGGCTACGACCCCGCACCGGTTACATCTCTTGCACAGGAGCGGGTGCCGATTCTCCATGGAGAGCGAGGGATTGGAATGCGGTCCGTCGGTCATTCTCTTCACCGTTCTGCCCTCAACGTGCGCCGTCGGCGTCGTTGAGGGTTGGAGTACTGTCCACGGGTGATGACGGCCACGCTGCTGCACATGGCTGTCTGTAATCCAGCACAACGTAGGCGGCGGAGAGGGTCGGTGGATCGCCGCACAAACGTCGTGAAGCTCCTTTCCCGCGGAGCGTCGAGGAGGCACCATCATACCCCGGCTCGCCAGGAGAAGGCGGTACGGCAAACAATGTGGACTCTACCCGTCCCATCTGTCTGGGATAGAGTGTTGCCCCCTTGCACACGTGGGGTTTTTGTCCGGGTGCTCCGGTTACAATAGCGTCTCCTTCGTATGTCTCCACGTAAACATTGAAAGTGATTTTTCTCACAACCCACCGGCTCCCCCACGGCCTTCTGGGAGTGAATCATCTCCGCAGCATTCATTCAGTGCAAGCAAACTACAGTGTCTCATCCTGATCCGCACCTGGAGGAAGGGGGGGCAGTAATTTCCCACCTGCCCTGCTTACCGAGCGTTCTTTTTACGAGCATTCGTCCCAACGGGCTATTTGAATTTGTGACCAATTTGTTGACAAAATGAGCAAAATGTTCGCTTAGCGAGCAGAGGCCGATCGATCGAATCATGGCGGCAGGGGGCGCGCTGCGTCCATTATGTGTTTTGTCGTGTGGGGGAGGGGGGCATCGTGGTGACACTGTAATAGGTGGGTAGGGGGGCAGAGGACAGACACCTGCGAGCATTGTAGTTCTTAATGTGTGGTCAGTGTTCCATTCGATGTTTTATTAGTCGATCAATTATCCGGCTTCCAACATCCGGTGGTCCCAGGCCGAAAAACCACTCCAAAGGTTGCAAGCCAGTCCGCCGATCGTCACACAATCAGGGTTGTGTTGAAACAAGAGTGGTGCTACGTACATCGCCCCGTGATGCAGAGTCTTTGAGATTAGAGTGGTAAGTACAGTACAGTAAATACAGTAACATAATACAGTTTTTTTGGGTTGGATTGCGTAAATATATAAATGTGTCGTTAAACTCACCACCCGACACAGCCAATCAATAAGGTTTGTAATGTAAACAGAACATGCCAATTCGTTACGAGTGTAATGAGCGACTTCCGCGACACGTCAAGTAGAGGGCACTTATTTTATTTCTCACACCGGGCACAACACAGGCCAACGGAATTCTCACGCTGAGCACAACTCTTGGATATTAACGCCTCAACTGGCTCCACACAGCCGATCACTCGGCGTGGTCCCACCGCCCTCACTCGGCTACGCGGCGTGACGATGATGGCGATGGAAACCCCGCAGGAGATCTTCCACGTGGCCGGACGATGGAGAGAGATGTTGGCGAGCAGCGACGCAGCCAG